GAAACCAGAAGTCTAATGAGATTTACTTTGTTTGTCTTCACATCATTGGTCGCCTCCTTCACCTCTTCTTGATCATCAATTGCCTCCTTCAAGAGTAGATGTGGTGAGGATTGTAAACATTTATAAGCTAACAACATATGCCAGTTATAATTTACCTTATTATCTGCTGTATCCAAATCTGAATCGGCATCATCTTGTAATTCATGATCGGCCTAAGAAAGATTTCCACAATTAGCAATTATTTGAATAGTAATAATTGAGCATAATGTGGATATTACCTCGTTGCCCGTTTCGTTGGAAATATCTTGTTCAATTTCCGATTTCCGCAAAAATAGATTGGATGATTGTCGTTCGGAAGGACTTTGAAAGAAGTTGTCGATCTCGTTATTTAAATCCTACATAAATATAAGGGACAACATTAAAATAAATTGCAATTTAAACATTAGCTATTTCTGCTGATCCTCACGATTTCTAGCTAACAAAATATATCGTACTTTTTCCCGATCTCTTTTTGATTCGGATGATCCAGCAATGAACCCATTTATATTTCCAACTCTTCCGATTGTTCCGTTGTTTACAGCCCCATTGATCGTCCCATCGGCTGATGGAGATGGAGCACACGAGAGCGTTCTCTTTCCCATTTTTTTGCTATTTTACTATCGGATCCCTAACATGAACGAGAAATTAGTAATATTCTGACTAATAGACCTAAACAAATTTTGATTTTTCCATCCCATTCAAACATCAACTAAACCTAAAGATTAACTGTGCCCTCATGGGTCCAGCACTGGCTCGACCTGAAGACTTGAAACATCAGGCGAACCTAAAGATCACCTGTGCCCCAGCACTGGTTTGGTGGCTCGACCTAAAGACTTGAATGACAAAGAAACCTGAAGATTCCCTGCCACGCCATTTACTCTATCTACATTCAATAAAAAGACTTCTACTTGCCTCCCTATAATCATTCAGGAGAAGTTGTGCCCTTTCTTGCCTCCTCCCTTGTTCATTGTCATTGATGGTCTCGAGACTTTTTAAATACAAACCAATCTTCAACTGAAACGGTTCCTCCTTACTTTCGTTTAAAAACTCGGTAATGTTCCATTCTGTACATTTTCGCTTAAAATAATCGTGTATTTTGGGACGAGACGACTTCAGACACGGTTAAAAAAAATTTTTTATAGGTCACACAGATCAGCTATTTCAAAGTCACATGATTCTTATCGTAAAGATTTATTAAATCCCGTTGAGTTTTGAGTAAATATTCGCGTTCATTTTGCTTAACATATATTTGCAACATCACTTCTACTTGGACATAAATACAAATATCTGCAGTATCACTACCACTGGAGAACAGTTAACCGTCTTGCGCTTTCTTTAAACCTCTTCGAGCGAGGTAGGTTTTATACTTTTTTTGTTTCTTTCCCGTAATTTACGACAGCTTTGTTAAGAACGAATGACGCGCCTGCGGTAGAGTGAGATCTATCGGAAGCCAATATTTGGCAAGTCATTGTCCAGGAGGTGGCCGGCTGATTTTGGGCTACAAAGTTGTTGGGTGTCTGTTGAGTATGCAGGGCGCCTGCGGTAGAGTGAGATCTATCGGAAGCCAGTATTTGGCAAGTCATCGTCCAGGAGGTGGCCGGCCGTTGTGTAATCAACAGTACACCGTTTTATTAATTGATTTTGGTCAAACAATATTACTAAAAATTTTTTCTTTTTGTTAATACCTTATGTGATGAGATGTCAAATATGAAAATATCGTCCACAAAATTAAAAAGGCAATGCGACATTAATTGGATGATCTCATATTAATATATCAACCCAACTCCCATAGAATTTTTTCGTTTTATCCAACCAACACATAAATCCCGTGCATTTGAAAAGTATATGAGAACACTTGATCAGGCTATCAACTTATGTGAGGATCAGAAAAAACAGTTAAAACTAAGAAATCTCAAAGAAACTTCTAGTGTATGTAATCAAACACGTTTTATTCAAGCATATTGCATCTCTAACATACACTTTCTTTATTAATAGTGCAGTTCAGATTGGAATTTGTGGCTTGTAGAAAAAAGAGCGGTGTGTTCAATCACAAGCTTTCAACAAAGTTCTCAACTAACTATGATAACTTTAATCTGATAGGGGTCAATTCGTGATGAAGTTCATGAGACGAATGTGGAGGTACACCGAGAATTAAACGCCATTGTCA